GAAAGAAATTCAAACTATGTGTTTAAAATTTTGCTAAAATTTGGATGGCATTAAAAGACCTTTATTTCTCTCTAGTTCTCTCTCCCTCCCTTCCTCTTCCTCACTCCCTATCCTCTTTTAAAATTTATTTCATGAATCTAGTCATAGTTCCAAATACGTTCTTTTCATTTCAGTATTATAAATTCTGCCAAAAAACACATTAAAACCCTGTTTGGCTACATAGCACGTGTCACAGTAGATGCAACGGGGAAAAACACTATGCTGTTATTCCTGATTAAATAATCAGCCCAACATCCTAATGGGAATTAAAGCAATCATGGAAAAACCTGGAAAATGATTCTATCCTACTTCAAGATTTCAATGAAACAGAGAGAAATAGTAAAAAAGTTAAAACACTTTACTTGCTCTATGTTTTTATTCTGTATAATCAAAATGAATAAAATTATGCAAATTATTTGCCCTTCAGAAGCATTAGCTGCATTAGGAGAAAGTATTACTAAGTTTAGACTTCTAATAAATTAAAGTGCTTTATTAGAAATAAACTAGATTTATAGTATTATAAAAAGTATATGTTCTTTTCCTTTGAAATATTATATGAGCCTATGACTACTTTCTTCTTACCCATCCCCTTTCCTAACATATATAATTTTAAAATCTTAAACAAAATATGAAAACTAAAGAATTATTACAGTAATGATTTTCATGGAAACATACAAGTTTATGACTCAGTAGAAAATCTTCCATATTTAAATTAAAAAGAATGTATATGAATAAAATATTCTAAAAATTCAAAGATGTATCAGAAATTCTTGAAATTGAAACAAGCTTTTAAAAAGCAAAATTATGATGTATGTATAAATTGGGTTTTGAGTTAAAAAAAATTAGTCATTCTTAGTCCCTCTTAAGTCAACCTGGTATTCCCAGCTATTTGATGCTGAAGCAACATGGGAATCATGGTTTTAGAACATGCATTGACCTGAGCAGGCTGGTTGTACCCAAAAGCACTTCTGGTCCTGATTGGCTGGGATGATGGGAGTTGGATCACATCATGGAGAGACCTTGTCAGTACTACAGAGGAGTGTGCATGTATTTTCTCTTACCAAAAAAATGAAAATAAGCAATACATTAAATTAAAAAGTCAACCATGCTGAACACTAAAGAAACATTTTCAGAATACTAAAGTATGTCAAGAAAAATGATATCTTTGGAACCTAGTCAGGATTTGCTGAAGTATAATAGAAACAATATTCTAATATTGTGTATATCTGCATCACTACTTTTATAAGGAACTGATGACAAACTACATTTACTAAACAAATAGGACATTCGCTTATGTGTACTTAAAACAAATGGAGTTTCAGATGATAATAAATTAACCAGAATTCATTTTAATAAGTATTATTCAAATTATAACATATGGAGAACAATGAAACACACATTTTTTACTATACTCAATAAATCCAAAAGCAATCAGTTCTTATTTTGTCATCATAAGAGAGTCTTTCTACAAAAAAACTTATGTTTAACCAAATATGAAGGAGTCTTCAAAAAGTTCACAGAAAATGTATATTATTAAAAAATGCATGAATCTCAATCTTTTTCTGCACCAAAATACACTTGTACTTTAATTTCATTTTTTCCAAAAACTGCTAAGAGCCCCCTCATAAATTAGAAAATTTAGGCCTAAATTTTACATCTATAATTCTAACTTTTTGGTTTCTATGCATTTTAAGTTATCTGATTATTTGATGTAATACATGCATGAAAAAAATGTTAGTTTATTTTCTTTAGAGCGAAAAATTTTATGTATATAAAGGCAGTATAAAATGTACTTTTTACAAGCATAGATTCAGGTTGGAATTAGTAAAAATACAAATGAATTTCTAGGAATCTTATTACTTGAATAAAACAATACTTTTATACATTCAAAAATCATTCAGCAATACTAATGAGCATTAATGCACATACAGAAATATTAATAAACCATGTACATTCTTTGTGTCCAAAGACAATGTACCCATAATTGAGAAAATAAAGTTTTCATATGTGGAAACAAAATTAACAATATAGCAGAGCAGACACTTAGGGCTAAAAAACTGAATCATTCACCAGGGATTCAGGTGGGCTGAGTTACTACTATGGCTAATGACAGTAGTTGGGCAAAGTATAGCTATTGGGGTTATCGTGTTTAGTTGTGCAGGTTGTATACTTCAGAGACCAGGTATGTGGGTCCCTTAGCATTGCAAAATTCTCCATCTATTCAGCTATAGGAGATGTCTATTCATCACAACACAGATTTTTCCCATCCCCAGAGTCCTTTGATCAAAAGGTATTCTGAGATTCAGAATTTGTTTGGTGTGTCCTCAGGAATGCTTCTCAGAATTTGTGTTATACTTTCATTTATTGAAATATCTGTTTTGTTCTTAGGAAAGTTAATGAAATAGACAAGACTATACCTAACAGTTGCTAAGACTTACCTTAATAGCAATGCGTCAAATGCAATAATATATATTTAACTACATTAAACAGAGTTCATCGATAATTGTTTGGTTTTTAATTATATTTTGAGGGTCCTACTTAAGGGAAAGCAAGTGTTCCTAGGAGAGAAACTAAGTTATTAAATAGTCCAAGATGGGTAAAGGAACATGCCTAGGAAAAGGCAAAGCTAATTCAGGCTATCAGAACGGTTGCCTGGCAACTGTAACAGAAGAAATGACAGGTAGGAAAGTAGATCTGGTAAGAGCAATACTAGGCATATTATTCTGAACATCCTATGGGGGAAAAATATCTTTAACTTTTGAAAGTATCACTAAGTTTTTGTATACTAAAGGCCATTTGCAGTTTTAAAATTATTATGAAACAGGAATAATATGACTTTCTCCTATTAATGAAGTACAAACTCAAGGTGGATAAAAATATCTTTGGAAGGGGACCAGCAGATGGCGTAATGTTTACAATGCTGGACTGCCACATACTCAACCATCATTCAAGTCCTAGACCCACTGGCCTAAAACTCATACCTGGTAAATGAAAAGCTATTGGATGATGAAATGGTAATTTTAATGTCTCTATATTGAATGATATGCATGGTATTCCTTCTGGAAAAAGAAATGTAATACACTGTAAAGTTATATGTGATTCAATGTAAAGATTATGATGATAATAAAATAAATAAATAAATAAATAAGAGAAAAAAAAATAAAACAAAACAAATACTCATACCTGGTGTGTACGTGTGCATTCCCAAAATCCTGAGAGGAGAATGGAGGAGAAGGGATTGAAGCATTCCCCTGGGGTGGGGGTTGGTGACTTCTTTTTCTTGCTTTCTGTCTGTTTCTCAGGTGAGTGCATGCACCCTATAGCAAAAAAACCTCCAAAAAAAAATCTCTGTAAGTATTTAAAAATTCCTCTTCCTGCAACAACTCTGCTGAATAAACGTACATCTTCAAGAGAATTATTTAAAAAAAAATACGTATCTTCAGGGCCAGCAGATGGCACAACGCTTACATTGCTGGACTGTCACGTAGCTAACTGTGGTTCAAGTCCTGGACCTGGTCATGTGAAACTCATGCCACACATATGTAAAATACATGCCCAAGATCCTGGAAGGAAAATGGAAAAGAAGGGATTGCAGTGTGGCCAACCCCTGGGGTGAGTGATTTCTCACTTTCCCTCTGTCTCTGTCGGACTCTTTCTCTCAGGCAAGAGCACATGCCCTAAGGCAAAAACACTATATATATATATATA